GCACTGAGGCTCAACTGATGCTTTGCTCGCTACTCGAAGTGTCCTATCGAGGGCGCTGTGTTGTAAGGGTCTTTATTCTGGGGCCCTTACTTAGACACTCTGTTCAGGACAGGAGACTACTCTGGTATTTGACAGGGGGGATTCTCGAGCGCCAGATTTTTGATAAAGGTGATTTACTTCACCTGCTCCTCCCAACTTAGTCGGGAAGGAGGCCCACAGTAGCAACAGTGGAGAAAGGTACAGGAGGTATACCTACCTCGGTACCTACAGTATAAACCAGGGGTCAATGGTATTGAATCGACCTGGAATCAATAAGTAGCCAAGGGAGTGTAGGCTTTAATTACAAACCCTGGGTCTAGCCTGGAATACTGGTTGCTATTTCTGGTCTGGATAATTACAGGAATCAAAGCAAAATATATCTCAGGTCTTTGGTATTTTGAGGTTAGGTCCGGAAGATTATTTACTCAACTATTTCATCATTTCTATCTGGAGAATCGGAAACACAGTTCTAAACGAATTACACAGATTCAATTTCTATTTATCTTTTCTTTTTCTTCGATTTTTCTAATTTTCTAATATCGGATTTTTAGTGAGGTTAATTTGTTATATTTTTCCATTAATGTCAATAGTTCATGAAACATAGAACACCGCCTGACGGGATACAAAGCACAGAGACACCGGTGCACAGGACTGGATTTCTCAAGGAAAAGAAGAAGAAGAGTTGTTAACTGGCTTGTCAGTGTCAGTAGTCAGTCGATAATAATATTCTGCAATTTTGACAAATGAAAATATTGGAAATCACTGAATGAATTATTGAACTATTTGTATTGAAAACAATGACAACAGAGAAGGAAATATGAAATATGCAATCACAAAATCCGTTTATTAAATTTAGAGTTCTGGATTCTTTACACAGGTCGGGTGAGTATCGGTGTGAAAAACAACAGGAATGAAATGAGGCTATAAACAGCGGATGAATAACACTGGTGAAAAATATAGAAACTTACATGTGTAACAGGAAATCCCTTTACAATACTATTTTACACTGGTTTTGAATGAACTATGAGAGCACTAAAAGATCAGTAAGAGAATCAGGAGCTTGAAGAGCAACGGAGATCAGGTAGTGTAGACTTGTAGAGAAGAACTTTGAGAGTGAGAGTCTCCCGAATCCTTGGCTGTCTTCAGTATTTATGCACTACTTTGGCCTTGACACAAGGACAGGTGAATCTGGAACCTCATTGGTCAAAACTCCCACCTCGTCATGGCTCATGGCCATGGCCACTAAATATGTCCTTGAAAAGCACATGTGCACCTCCAACACAAAACGCGGAAAAAATAATATTACACCCTAAATGGGCACAGGAACAGAATCTACTACCTTTGCTTATGCTACTGAACGAATTTGGCTGGAAAATATTCAATAACAACAAAGTTATGAGCAGTCAAACATCAAGAATTTCAACAGATAGATAATTCATCTAATTTCATATCATAAGCAAAGGGTTGAAAAATATTGAAGTCTTTAGGGTTGTGATGATGTTCATCAGAGTTTACTATCTGGACAAGCTGTGGGAAGTCAGAAATCAATGCATTACTCAGCTCTCTCAGGTTTTCAGGTTTCGAGCTTTCGAACAGGTGAAATTCAACTAGAATCAGGCTCAGGTACTTAGATTTTGATCAAAACCAGTCTAGTAATGGAGCTGGTCAAAAACACTTCATTACAGTGTAAGGTCCGAGTTTTTCATAAGATTCTTGGATTTTCCATCAAGATTCATGGTTCTTGAGTCGCAAGAGCTGAACAATTGTAGAATGAGACAATGTTCTTGTGGCAAAAAAAATTATTCCAATTGAAAGAAATTTCATTCAAGAGAAATTTCAGAAAATATCAAGAATCATGGATTTCTCAGAACAAAGAAATGTTCCTTCATGCAAGATATTCACTCCTTGCATAAGAAAATGTGGAGCAAAATCACAAAATACCTTTATCCAGATAAATCTGATTTTTCAGTGATGAATCAACTCCTACACGGAAAACGCTATTTGGTTTATCGAACCATTCCACAGGTAATTCTCATTCTTCAGGTTGGGAAAGTAGAATATATATAAGTTCAGGCAAAGCTACTGTGTCAGCGAGACATGTCATGTGACTAAACATTTTGAGGAAATCTAATGATTCGTAAAGTTTTTACATGCACCACCTCCTTTCCCTCTCATCCCTATAGATACGCGCGATGTTCCACGAACATTATAGGAATTCCCTTCCGTGCGCACCAAGAATTGGAGATAAAGTAATATTGATATTCACTGCATATCTTTATTCACCTCCAAATTGAAGTAAGAGAAATATTTCTTACATAAAATCACATAATTGTTCACTTTAACTATCATATTAATTTACTCATTACAAGATTCGGAAACATAGTGTCAGGGGACAACTCTCTTGGATTGTGAACCCCTGTTTGTAATAAATGAATGAAATGAATGAATATCATGTAAACTTGTGTAATTAATACAGGGTGAGTCATGAGGAACTGTACATTGAAACTTCTACCGTCTTCTCCCCCTACTCAACTAATATATAGGCTGATTTTTGGTATTTGACAAGAATATCTTTTGGTCATAACTCCAACATCTTCGATTAGTCTAAATCATCATCGGGACATTTTTCTTCCACTCTCTAATCGACTGATTAATTCAGAATCGGGAAAATCAAGGACCGTTCGTTTTTGCACAGATTCATTGTATTTTCCAAAATTCAGTGAAAATGTGAGGAACATTTCGAATATTTTATTCTGGATGCTTGTTTGTGACCTGTGAGAATTCCTGTCACAGTTCACAAAAACCATATACACATGATGAACTTTTTGATGTATACTTAAACTAGCGAAATTTTTCAAGAACGGTCCTAGATTTTTCCGATTCTGGATGAGTCAGTCGATTGGAGGATGGTAGTAAAATATTCCATGGAAGAGTAAGACGAAGCAAAGAGGTTGTCGAAAAGTTATGACCGAAAGGTGTTATTGTGAAATCTCATGATTCACCCTATATATTGATGAAGAAGAGGAGAAGACACTTTCTAAGGGCCATTAGGTATTTCCCTTATGAATCTCTATTCGTGGTAGGAGTATGTACAGTTCCTCATGACTCACCCTGTATCTATTTGTAATCGTTAATAAACATTAATATTGATATATTAGTGTTATTATCTTTATTATTATGATGAATCAAAACACGAATCAGTTGGCTCTGCCAGATGTTGATCTTCTTCTTGAGATATTCCCATGTTGTGGATTTGGGCAGATCATCACGTCATCTGCTGGTGCACCATCCAGAATGCTTCTAGTAATTCGGTCGAATAATATGGTAGTAAATTGGTCGTCAATTTGCGGGCGGATATTTTCGATGATTTGGGGATATAAATTATTATTGATCCTCCCCAATATGTTCGCCCTTCTGCGATCTGATCCGCCTTGGAGGTTTTGGAAATCGAAGTGACCTGTTTGGTAATTTCCCAACTGTTCGGTGTACAATACATTCCATACTTCCCTCCCATTTCTTTCCATTCTAGTCAAGTTGACGTAGTGTCTGAAAATCTGGTTGACTGAAACAAAAGACAGAAATGTTATAAATTATTTGTAGGTATACAAGGTTTTCACAGGTACTCAGAACCTCCCTCAACGGTTTTATATATTTTTGTCAAAATGCGTGAATATAAAAAAGATTCAGTAATTCAGTTTCTGTTTAACAGCGCTGTTTTATTCTCGAAATAATTACCCAATTGAGAAAAATACTTTGGACCACCACAGACTGATACGTGTGCATTATTTGAATTTGTATGTTTAAGAAGCGAACTGAAGAAATTCGTTCACGATATGCACAGAGAAGAGGAAAAAGAATGTTTCAAACAAGAAAAATGTTGTAAATTAAACAAAATCTGAATGTGGGAAAAGCAGAATATGAGTTGAAAATGACACTGTATATATTAACCAATGGGGAAAGTGAATATCGATGAGAATTCACCTTTAATAATCCATTTCCAGACAAATGAATATTTGGTAGGTGCGAAACCGTAGGAAGGCCACTGTTGTGCGTATTTCATTTTCTTCATTCAGACTTTCCTCTTGTTATTCATACTTTCTTCTCTGAATTCAGAATTTTTTCTTCGAATTCATATTTTGCTGAATAGAGAGACCAATATAATGAAAAACATACAACAATGTCCTTCTTACGCTTTTGTACGATCGTGATTTTTTGACGTTTACTTGTGAAAGACACATACACCTATGATAAGAAGTTTGAATTCATGAAAATAGTCTGAAGTCTGACAACAAGTGTTATCTCTGAAGATTGTTCCACTTGGTCCGTGAGTGTATCATTGGAATCTCTATAACAGTTGCGAACCTATGAATCTAACCTCCATGATTATTACGGAATATACGAAGGTGCAACCATGAATAATGTGACACAACGAATATATTTTTGCAAATATTTATTGGGTTGTGAATGAAAAAGGAAAGTTAATTCAATATTTGAAATCGGAACGTTTGAGACTGTTCCATAAGAATAAATATAATTTTATATGGATAATCGTTCGAAGTTTCTCAATATTCCTCAACCGAAAGTACTCAGAGAATGAAAACGAAATCAACAATTTCTCAATTTTCCTCTGTATCTCTGAAACGAAAGAAGATATCAAAATTCCAATTATAAGATTCACTTCCTGTACCACTCTATCAGGATGTTGTTATTGTTATAGTCGCGAATGAACTTTGTTTAAAGGAATGGTAAGGAGCAATTATTGTCATCTTCATTCGCAATAGCGAATTTCATTTTCGTTTCATAATTATTATTGACGGTAGAAAGAATCTCGTCAATATCATATTCTCTGGTTGTACAACGATAATATCATTGATGTGTTTTTTGATGAAATAAAAGATATATAACACTGTACCTGACAAATTATAACTTTCCCAGTTTGCTTACATCTCTTTGATACTTACGGAATACGATGGTAGATATGCCCGTTTCGTTTATCTTCATAACTCTATCAGAACCTGAGCAAGAAGGTTCTCTGATATATCCGATTGCGGTATAGCTGGCAATATGCGTGAGCCTTGGGTTATGATTCTCGTAATCTATGAAAGTATTGTTTCCAGAAACACTCCATCTGAAATAACACAAGATTTTTAGTTTCACTGTCTGGTCACTCATGAATATTCTTGCGTTCATCATACCAAAGAAAACCTTAACACTTTTTTGGAGTCATAACTTTTATTCATGCGCCCTTTGGGCACTTTCCCGAATGGGAGTGAACCGGCTAAATCGCGTAACGGAAGCGCGCGTACAATAGGACAGACATTATCATGTGTTTATCTATATATATATAATGTATAGTGAGGAATTAGACATGAAATTGGTACTTATCCTACCAGGTACAAATAGTATCCGATGTAGCAAGAGAGATCGGGTACAATTCAAGAGGAAATAACTTGTACAGTATGGAGAATCAATGAGGTCATTGACAATTTTATACACAAAGGATTGCATTCTCAAGTTCAAAACTTCAAGCTTGTGAAATGTAACATTATATTCATAAAAGGAAAAATTTCTTATTTTGTTGAAACGAAGATTCAATAAGTACATTTATTATTTTATGCTGCACTCTTACAATTCTATTCATCTTATCCTTATATAGGAAGGATTCCATACTATAGAAATCCTATCTCAAATTTTCATACAATATCAATGATATTCTATGTCCGAAGTATGAATAGACGGTAACATTTATGATGAGATCGATTCAATTCAATGTTTTTCTCAGAAATGAATCAGATCGATATTTCTCTTCGATTTCTAAATTGCCAAATACTTAATTGACCTGACGGTAGCCGTGCAGACAGAATGTCAGTATTCCAATCCGCATTCGCTTTCCGGTCGTGTGCTCAATTCCCCGCGACTGCAGAAATTTTTCTGATGGCCCAAGAAAGTGTTTAGGATGACATGTTGAAAAATAAGGCCCCTGTCATTCCTTGTTCGCACAAGACTCTCGAAGACTTCTGAGGGTTGCTCGTAAGGGGGCAACCGAATGACGGATAAAACCATAAAAAAATTCTCTTTCAAAGATAGCGTAACCCGCACGGCCCGCATACGCTACGCTAACTTTCATGAATCGGCCCGCCTTGCCTTCTCTATGAATTGGCTCGTCTTTCCCCGCATGCTGCATTTTTCAGGCCGACTGTGCGGACTGGACCAAGGTCAGCACGGGTAGTCCCGACTATTGCAGTGCTCTAGTATGCATCAATAGCTTGTCATAAAATTACAATCGACATACATGGTGAGACATATTTCGATTTGATTTGATATTTCGAAGATAATCATTTGATAAAATTGAATTTGATGCAGTTTGGAATCATGAAGTTCTTGAAGAAATTTTGTGTTTCAGGGTGATGCCATTTTTTTGAACTGACTAAAGCTACCGTTGCGAATAAGTTTCTATATAAAATTAGTTTTGAACTTACCTAAAATCTGTTATTCTTTCATTCTCTACTCCCAATAATGTACTGTTCATCATTCTGATGGTGACGTTGATTCCTGCCACATCAACATGATAGGTGAAAGGAGAATCAATGTGTACTGAAATGAAAAAAGGAAACATGTTTATTTCATATTGAATTTTAATCCCGTTGTGCGGCACTGTATTAGCCTCATAGAAATCTATCAATTTTAATGTGAAAGTAACTCAAAATCATGAGACTATTTCTCAAAATATCGCTTTCTTTATCAAAACACCAAAGAAGATTCAGTGTTAAACGTCTACTTGTATCTCGTACACAGGTAACACATTTACATCTGATTGATATAATTTTCCAGTCATAGAATGACGAAGTAGACGTCTTAAAAAGGAGCCTGAGAGACCCAATAATGACGTCAAAATGTCACAGCCACATGACGTCATAGTCATCAGTCAAAATGCCGCTCCGGGTAGTCCTGTTTGATCCTGGCGCTAACATTAGTAGACAATGCAGATCTATTCGAGACATTTGTTAGTTACTCATTTTTATATCTAAAATTATGTAGCAAGCGTCGGTGAGATGTAATGTGACAGAAGTTTGCTAAAAGAGCCTCACGTTATATAGAAAAACGAATATACAAACTCAAATTCAGTACAACAGAGTACAGACGATGAGAAGGTATAAGAAAACGACGATTTCTCCATTTGATCGACCAGAAGAATATATTATTATAAGACAATGTGTAGAGACGTCATTCAGTAAGACCTCCAGTATTATAAGTCGATAAGACGTAATTTGTAGGTCATATATTGGCCAATGACGTCGTATGGGTAGTTACAGACAGGCATGCAGAGCGCGTAGTTACCAACGTATACTTATGGCGTTGATTAAGGTATATATTACCGATTCTTTGTTCACATAGCACATAGGACAAAGAAGTGGAAAGGTTGGGACTAAGCATATCAACAGTAGTGATAGCGATTATATACTGTTCTCCATAGAAGTCCATATTCCACTGTGTTTGGCTCAGTAATCAAATGAAGGTGAATAATATCGTTGTGTGAGACAAAATGGTATTGCTGGCCGTGATGAATCAAGAACAAGTTAACCAGTCAATCAATCAGATTCGGAGAATAACGAATTAGATACAGATCACGCAAGTATGTGAATCTTGATGGGTTCAATGATCAAAATAAGAATACTCAACTTCAATATATGGTGTATTCATATCTCCAGCATGAGTATGAAATGCTAAATATGCAGAAATCGGGAACAAATCAGGCTTGTCCCAACCCAAACAACCAACCATAACAATGTTGTTTAGTCTTGATGACCTAGTACGTCATTTTTAGTTTCCACTACTTCCAACTACTTTAGCTCCTAGGAACCAAAAGTGTTGATGTGTGTGTCAGTGATAGAAACGTCAATTCAAGAGCTAATTTTGGTATTGAAATGAACGACTTTTGTGTCGGTTGCAGAAAATGAATATTCACGTTCGTCACTTTGAGAAGTATCTGTCAAACAATAATATGATAACATATCAGCGACAAAATTCACGAGATAGACTCGTTCGATATTTCAATAAGTGGAAAATGGCTGATTGAAATGAATATATCGGATATTTCTCACATGCCAAAATCTGTCATTTTGGTGATTCCAACCAATAAATTCTAGCCAATCATTTGGCATCATTTACTGCGAAACGGCGTCTCCTCGTTTACATTGTTCTGTTACAATAGATTAGACTTATTTTGTGTCTGCCATCTCCTTAATTTCGACCTATCTAATGTGTGGAAGCAACAATCAAATCAATTTTCAATTCTTCGAGAGAACATAACCTATAGCGTACACTACAGACAAAACAGTGTGTAGTGTATTATCGTGCCAAAGTTTCCAGTCTTCGATATATAACGTAACGATTTTAATCTCAACCTATATACAACATTACATATTATAGCGTTGCCACTTTTACCAAAAAGTAGCATCATCTTTGTTATTTCAAATGGAACACCCTGTATTCCATTGCGTTTTTAGATTCTTCTTGAAGAGCTGATTTCATCAATGCATCACACTTGGGGTCTAGCAAGAATTATCACAGAGATATAGGGTGTTCAAAATCGAGATTTTTCAATTTCAGGAATTTTTTTTGTCGAAACTATTTCTTATCGATCAAAACGACTCACATGTCCCTATCTTAACTTTTGATTCACTATCTACTGACATTTAATTGGAAGGTGATCATAATTCTGAATCTTGGACCATCCTGTACTTTTTCCAATTAAATGTCGGTAGATAGTTAATAAAAAGGTAATATAGGGACATGTAAGCCGTTCTGACCAATGATGAATAGTTTCGACACAAAAAAATCCTAAAGTTGAAAAATCTCGATTTTTAACACCCTATATCTTCGTAATAATTCCTGCTAGACCCCAAGTGTGAACATTGATGAAATCAGCTCTTCGAGAAGAATCTAAAAACGCAATAAATTATAGGGTGTTCCCTTTGAAATGACAAAGATGATGCTACTTCTTGGTAAAAGTGGCAACGCTGCTTCGCAAAAAATAATTTGAATGGTTAGATCACGAACGCTTATTAGAGTAACCAAATTTTCAGGATAATCCAATATACCGTTTTCCGTATACGTCTAAGGTACCATTGACCGTGGGCCACCCTGTTTATAAGATTATTTTATCATCAACAACTAATTCCGTTGTTCTTTCATGCAGAATCCTCTGCAAACAGGTTGTAGTATTGAAAAGTCCGTTAGAGAAGTCAGGCAAGTAAACGTACACAAAAGAACATTTCCGAAATTAAAAAACTAGCATTCTACAATGTTTTCGTGCCTACCTACTGAAATTTAGTAAATGAATTACCTGGGATCAGCATGTTAGATCCGTTCGAATGACAATCATATTCTATATATTTTCCAATAATTTCCAATACCTCCTTGACACTTGACAGTTCTCTAAATTTATTTCGAAGATACTTTTTGGAACTGATATCCATAAAGTCCATAGTTCATTCGAATTTTTTTAAATTAAATCATCTCAGTCCAGTTTATATTTTTTTTATTTTCAGCTTATTTCCATTAATCTCTATGGAAATGAGCCATTACTCAAACGTGGATCACTTTGTATATTCAATTATTTCTTATGAATGTGGCAAATTGAATTGAAAAAATCATACATGTGACTGAAAATTCATCAGAAAAGGATATAGTTTGGCCAAAAATGAATCAATTCAGTACTTTATGAAAGCACTGTATATCAGATATAGAAATTCACAATTGAAAACATACTTTCTTTTGAAATAACTCAAACTAGGTTGCCTCGAACATCTCATTACACGCCCTTCAAAGAGTGTGGACACGCTTGTCACCAAAGACATTTCCGCATCGTCATCATTCACAGATTTGAAACGTAAGTTCTAAAAGGTTTTCGAATATATTTTGTTCAACGAATTCTGAGTATACCATTTGTTTGAGTTGCCCATGCAAAGACGACATTTCTAGTGTTCGTTGAAGCTTCAGATTGCAATATTCCGTAGAAATACATTCATTGACAATATGTTGATATAACTCGAATGTTATCGGGCGAGGCGTAGCCGAGTCCGATAACACGGCGTGTGCCATAATGATTGTTTATGATTCGTATTACATACAAAATTTTATCTGATGGCATTTATATCAATACATTTTCGAAAAATTAAAAACTGCATTTTCGACATGTCACAATGACAACTATTTTTAAAGGAGTAAGTATTGTGTAGTTTCAAATATTAGTAGGTGAGTGAGCTGTGCTTTGCCATTATATTAATATTACAAATTGTAGTAATTGTTCTTTTACCATTTATAATAAATAGTTTTGTACATATAGTTATGCATTTTGAATAAACTTTTTTGATCAAACCATTACATGTTTTCCTTATAGAATTTCATTATGGTACTTAGTCCCATAATGAGCTTCCTTATGTCATCAAAATTGAGTGACATAACGTTGTCATTATGACATGCCATCAGATAAAACATATTTATCTACAACCATGGAGTCATTAATAAATTGTTAACTCGATTTTCAACATATAGACACACATCGTTGTGATGAATCGAGTTATAAGAGTAATAATGACAGTAGTATGGCGTGATAATCAGACATCCCATCGTCTTGTCAAATTCAAATAGGTAGGAATTCGTTCTAGTAGTTCTACTAAAGCACACCACTATAATACAACTGTTTGTGAAATACACGCTTCAAGATTCAAAAGACTCACCTTACATGGTTCTCATAGTTTTACACGGAAAAATGAGAATTCACTGTTATTCGTTCTCAACAGTGACTATACCATCATGAGTAACCATAATCATAAAGTACTTAGGACATTACACTTGACAGTTGCAGATTGGCTCACGCTTATGTGCGGGCTATTCGAATAGATTAGTACAGACCAATCAGAACCATGGAGCTTCATTGTTGATAACTAGCGTCTAGAGACAAGGTACTACAATTATTGATCATCGCGGTGGGGGAATGCTACAGCCACAGCCGTCTTCAAATTGAAGACGGCTGTGCTACAGCGAAAGCAAGTTAATGAATAATCTACAATAGTATATGATTATCATTTCACAATTGAAAAGTGAAATGGCATTTAATACCTGGTAAGATTGACTGATATGTAATTGCACGGCTTTTTTCTTGTTAATAAAAGTTAGATCCAACATTGTTTATCATATTTTCACAATCAAAATTATTGCAATAAGTTTATAGGCTGTTCGTTGATTGAAATTTTTGTCAATGAGTTTTCGGTGACATTGATGAGTATTTCAAATCATATTTAGATGATGATTACAGCACTCGCTTTCGGCTCATACTGTAACTTCCATCTTCGTGGGTAATAGCCATCATTATATGCGCTCGTTAAATAACATACTATTGTGAGTCATGTTTTTCGTTCAGCTGTTTCAAAACATGACAAGTGTGTCCACGCTCTGTAAAGAGCGTGAAATGAGATGTTCGAGACACTATAGTTCGAACCATTCGGTTTCTCAGAGTAAATAGGCTAATCTATCAGTATTTCAGTTACTGAACCCGAAACGATCCAACAAAATTTTTGAAAATTTTTGTC